AATAATAATAATAATAATAATAATAATAATAACAATAATAGGGTCGATACTTACAACAATCATAGTAAATAAGAGAAAAGTATAAATACTGTAATTGATAAATAATAATGATGACAAAACTTTTAAGAGAAAATATGAAAGGCAAGATAATAAACACACAATACATACATAAACAATTTTCACGTCTTAACGTGTATTGTTACGGTAGAGTTACCCCCCTCTATCGATTCGCTAGTTGGCTAAACAGACACGCTTATCTATTAGCTAGCCCCTTTACTGGCGTGGTTTGTAAAGTAAGATCATTATTTAGAGGGGATGGGGGGAGGTGGGGGATTGGTGCACTGAAGTACAGGGTGGGACGCCAATTTTTATGCAGTTAGAAAGGAGAGGTTATAACAAATTGCGCCTAACGAAAAGAGGCTCAGGAAAAACCAAACATGGCATACCCACTATTGATACTAACCCCCATCCCCCCACCCCATCCCTCCCCAAGGCATAGTAGTTCTAATATAGAAGAGATAACTAGCTAAAAACTACTGTGAGATGCGTCGGTGTTTCTAATGAAACAGTAAAGATAAAAGGGTAAATTATACACCGTGAAAAGATGAAAAAATGCACTGAAGTTTCGGACGCTCGTCCTTCGTCGGAGTTAAAGAGTTCTAATATAGTTGTTTACTTACCAGGATGAAAGATTTTACCAACAGATGCCGTGAAGTATCCAGACTCTTTGAAATACTGAGGGAGAGTCGTAAAGTTACCAACTTTATCCCTCCAGTAAAAAGCATTTTTGTTGGAGTATAACTTTGTAGTATCTGGTCTTCTGCTTGTGAGGAATGACGTTCGACTTGGAGCACACACAGCTTGTTGTGAAGCAACAGTAGAGAAAAGCACAGAACGACTGGCAAGACTGTCTAGATTCGGAGTTTTCATAAATGTATCGCCATAGCAGGATAAAGTGGTACGCAAATCATCTGCTACAATTAGCAGTACGTTCAATTTTCGCCCATAACTATCACTCTTTAAATTGGTAATAAAAATGAATATGCTATATGCTAGTAACCAAAGTATTCTGCTGTATCGGCTCATGGCGAGTGTGTATTACTGGAGTCGCGGGGCTTAGACGTCACGTTTTGGAAATTGGGTATCGTCTTCCGTGGTTAACTACACACGTGAACGACATAAAATAAGATAGATTTGGTTTCTTATTGACATATAAATGTAGTTCAAATGATATAACATATTATATTCCTTGCTCCTCTGCTTGACATCGGTTTTGTTGTGGTGCAGCAATAATAATGTTATAGACAGTTTATTAATTTATATTAAGAACTATGTAAGCCATGATCAAATGCAAAATCTTATTTTTTTATTACTAAGTTCCTCAGCACTATTTGGTATTTTTTGTTATCCCTTCCCTTCAAATAAACCACGAAATTATCTGATTTCATGATTTTATGATTGTAAGACCGGCTTTATAGACGGCTTTATTATTCTTGAAGCAAGTGGTCCTCTTCATTTATATGATAATCAATACTGGTGCGTAGCTTGGTTGGTGCGCAGCTTGGTTGTTACGTGGCATGGTTGATGGGTGGCACTGAAGTACTGGTAGTACTGAAGCGCAGTATGGCAGCGCGAAGCATTTACGGCTACGCCGGAGATTTCGGCCCCGACACCGCTATCCATAATGACTGATCAAGGAGCTCAGCCGAAGCCTAAGGGAGAGGTTAGTCGGCCCCTAAACCGTATGAGATTAACCCCTTACTATGACCAGCAAAAACAAATATTTCTCTAATGATTAAGTTCATATACTTGCCTTATTCCATGTGGGATGCATAGACATACAACCAAGGCTTGCATAAAGAAGTTAGTCATGCGCCGTAAACACATTATACTAAGTAGGCGTTGCAAAAAAAGGACTGAGAAATTAAACCTGACGCCGAAGTCAAAAAGTAAGAAGATTTAAAAGCAGTAAATTTGTCAACAAAAACATAGACAATCTAACTATCAGTTTTCTTCAACGAAAATGTCCTTGAACTTTATATCAAAAACGTTGTTTGGTCCACCATCAATGACTAGTGCACACTCGGTGTTGCTTGGGTAGTTGTTTGGAAGTTTTGGTGATGTTATCTTTTGTTTTGGTGTTTGTATCAAATTCACTTCACATGCATACTGGAGCGACTATGAAGGGTTTATTTATGTTAGTTAAATTTAGTTTAGTTGATTGTTATGGTAATGATGATGGTGGTGGTTATCACGAAGATGGTAATTTATGACGAATGATGATCTTGACAATGATGGTGATGATGACAACAACCATGATGATGATGAATGGCAATGATGATGAAAATGCTGATAACAGATTTGCATTTTTACTCAATTATGATGTACTATTTTTTTTTACCATAAAACTGGGTTCTCACTGAAAAATAGCAAAGACTGCAATAATGTTTTCCCTATATTACTAATGACAATCCAATTATATTGAAAGTATTGTTGAAAGCCAAACAATGCAAGGGTGCTCATAGGTGGCTAAAGATGGTGTGCTAAATATTTTGTTGTGTAAATAGCAAGTAACCACAATCCAAACCAGAGCCTAGCAATCTTGTATTCTTTGTCATTAATGTGAATAACTGTCTACGGTGTTAAAAAGGTTAGGGGTAAAGCCTGGCGGGGGGGGGGGACTCCCATCAGGGCCGTAACCAGAACTTTTACAGGGAGGGTGCACATCGAATAACATTGGACCACTGATCGTTTTTTTTAAGAAAGCAGAACCAAAAAAAAAAAAGGTAACCAAAAAAAAGCAGAACCAAAAAAAAAAAAAGGAAA